TCTCCTCTACAGAACTTAAAAAGGATAGTCCATAAATTTGAAAGGATCTCCAATCTTAAGATTAATTGGGGCAAGAGCTGTGTGGCAGGAGTAAATTTAGGGAGTGAAGAGGTGAGTCTACTAGTTGGACCGTTGGGATGTAAAGTAGGGGATTGGCCATTACAACATTTGGGATTACCATTGGGAGGAAATCCTAATATAGATAGTTTTTGGTATCCATTGATTGAGAGATTTACAAAGTGACTTGCGAATTAGAAGAAAAACTACATTTTTTTTGGGAGGTAGGATAAGCCTAATAAAGTTAACTTTGGCTAACGTATCACTGTACTTCCTATCTACCTTTAGGATACTAGTGAAAGTGAAAACCAGCTAGAGAAGATTATGAGGGACTTCTTTTGAGAACCGGGAGACACCAAAAAAGACCACCTAGTGAGGTGGGAGGTGGTTTCTAGAAGTAGAGATGAAGGGGGCTTAGGAATAGGAAATATTAGGCTAAGAAACACAACATTATTGGGGAAATGGTTATGGAGATTGCTGTTGGAACAAGACAGGCTTTGGCATAGAGTGATTATTAACGTTCATGGATTGGTAGACAATGGTTGGGATGCAGGAGTCGACCCTAGGGCTTCTCGATGCTCTCTCTAGAAAGCTATTCATGGTATTTTACCTTCCATCCTTCCTTACTTCAAATTTGATGCTTGTGTGGGAAATGAAGTGTTGTTTTGGTTAGAAAATAAAAGAAAAGTGATCTCTTCAATTTTTATTGATAATTCTTGGGACTTGGGTTTGAGGAGAGGTCTAAGGGAGCCGGAAATGACAATGATGGATGAATTAATTAACCTTTTAGGGTCAGCCTATTTGGATCAATCTTGTTTGGACAGTAGAATTTGGAAACCTTCCCCATCTGGCGTGTTCACTTGTTCCTCCTTCTTTGATGCCCTCATTCAATCATCAAACCCTACAAGGAGCTTTCCTTCAAAGGAGATTTGGTGTTAGCCTGTACCCCCAAAAATTCGGGCTTTTTGTCGGGAGGTGGCTCTTCAAAAAATCAATACTCTAGATATGCTGCAAAGAAAAAGGCCAAATTTATGACTATCATCCCATGTTGGTAGCCTCTGCTTGGGCTCTGGTGAGACGATCACACCCCTATTAATTTCTTGTCCATTTGTGTGCTTTATTTGGGCCTGGTTCTCTTCTATCTTTGGTTACAGGTGGACACCTCCCCTGATGTGGCAAGCCTTTTTGACCCAAGCCTTTTCAGGCAACTGAAGAGATGTGGAAGATTAATGTGGAGAGCCACAAGAGCAGCTATCTTATGGTCAGTTTGGGAAGAAAGGAACAATAGGATCTTTAAAGGAGTGGAGAAATCCAAGGAGGAAATTGTAGAAAGGATAATCATTATAACTATTCAATGGTTGAAAACTTTGGATTTGTTTAAAGACTTCTCTGCTGAAGACATTTATAGGAATTGGGAAATGGTGGCATCTACAACTTCCATAAAACCTACTGTGCAGGAATTGTGGTCCCCACCAACACAACAAAGAGTGAAACTGAACTTTGATGGGAGTTCTAGAGGTAACCCAGGCCCTTTAGGTATAGGAGTATTAAGAGATGAAAATGGTAGAATTGTGGCTATGTTTTCAAGACCAATAGAAGTGGGGGACTCATTGAGAGCGGAGGTGATGGCCTTGCTATATGCCAAATAGTTGGAGTTACACCAAATTGAGATAGAGGGAGACTCTAAATTGTTGATTGAGTGGCTGCAATCTGGTAAGTTGGGAGCCTGGATTTATAGACAGCCCATAAGTGAAATCCTCATCACGACAAGGGAGATCAGTGCGTGTTTCAAATGGACAAGGAGATTAGATAATGATTTAGCTGATACATTGGCTAAACAAGGGACCGTGAGGGAGAGAATGTTCTGGGAAGTTTTGTAAGAAAGATTACTGGGGGCTCAACACCTGTTTAGGGGTTGACAACTGTACTTAACTCTGGAAAGTTATACTTAAGTTGTATTAATGAAGTTACCGTTTCCAATAAAGAAACCATAAGAAACCATGTCTATGTTTTATTGGAGGAATGTAAGTAAGTGTCGTGACCATGTGAACACATTGAAACCAATCACCTAGGCAAGCATTCACTAGGTGATTTGGTTGATATCATGTTGTGTTTTATTGGAGAGTCAAAAGAAAGTGTTGTGACCATGCAAACTCATTGTTCAACATGTTAAACTATCTTTGTAGATCCTAGAAGCAATCTCTATAATCAAACAAAAACCAAATTATCCAATGAGGGCATCCTGCTATTGATACCCCAAATGAAAGTGTTGTGGTTGTGTGAACTCATTGTTCAACATGTTAGGCTACCTTTGTATTTCTAAATTGTCATAGTATAATAAATGTTAGAATTAAAGGAAAAGAAACGTTTGGAACATTTCTTCTATTTAATGGTCTTGCAAAGAGCCATTCAGTAATGGCAACCATTCACTCAGCATTCAAAGCCAAGATTTGAACAGACACCTTGATGGAAAGGTAACCGTTCACAAAGATGGCTATAAAAGGGAAGGTCCCCAACCCCGTGCTCACTATCAAAGCGGCAGCAAAGCTCTCCCAGCAGGCAAGAAGTGTGATAAACGGGGCTGAAGTGATCTCCCGGTTCAGATTGTCATGGCCTCATCCAGATCTTTGGCTTCAAGTAAGTCTTTATTGTTATTCTCATTCACGAGGTTGTACAATCCTAATAGAAGAATAACAATTGGTATCAGATCCTGAGTTCTCAACCTATGCATGAGAAACTGTAGAAATACCAACAAAAATTCAGATTTAAGTTTTCCGGTGGTTTGGCTGGATTCCGGTGCGATAACTGGTAGGGTATAGTTGGTTTTTGCTAGCCGTTCGTTTCCGACCATATAGTGGCCTGAAACGGTCGGCAGGGAGCAGCCCAGATGCTGCTGCTGTAATTCTGATTATTAAGCCCAAAATGGGTGAAGAAGAAGACGACGGGTTCCAGGGTCAACCCAAACCCGAATAATCTCATCCATTTGTGCTGTTTTGAGTCCTTTGACTCGGTGATTTATCTGAGTCAACTCGCCGCATTAATTCGGCGAGTTCCTGTCTGATATGACAATCTGGTTTGCCCTTACCGGTTCACCTATATCTGAAACTTTGACCGACCGGTTCATGTCTCTATAAATATTGCATTTTTTGAAACTTGGTACCCTGGGGTTTTAGAACCTTCTGAATCCATATATGTGGGTCCCACAATCTAATTTGGACTAAAACCCAATGGTTCATCCCCGGTTCAATAATACCCGAAACTTTGACTGACTGGTTCATGAACTATCTGAAACTGTTTTGACCCATATTTTTTCTTACAGTCTTATAAGGATCTGAAATACATTCTGGTAAAATTTTATGAATTTTTGAATTCATTTTGACACCGGTTCAATGATTTTAGTATGTATTGACCCTAATTTATCACTTAACTTGTCATTATTATTATTATTCTATTTGCTTAATATTCATCCCTGCATGTTAAGCTATCTATGTATTTCTTGATTGTTAAAGCAAGGGAGTGGATAGAGGCATGGTTTTCAAGGCATCGAGGTGAGGCTAGGTGATGGGTTTTTTCCTAAAAAAATAAATAAAGCCCATCTTTCAGAATAAAAACCATGAATCCTAGGGTAAATTCCTTAGGCTCCATAGCAAGCAGCAACCATCTTTTCCTATTAATTGTCTATAATCTTAATAGAAAATGTATAATCTTCGTTAGGAACATAGAAAATTAACATATTCATAAAAATGGAAGAAAAGAAATTTCCGAAAATAGAGGGCTGAGCCTTTATTTTTGTCTTAGGAAAAGAAGAAAAGAAAAGAAAGGGTTAAAGAAAGATGATGATGATGATGATTGAACCCTAAAAATGAGAAAAATAATAAAAAAGAAACTAGTATTTTTAATTTAAACTTAATAATTTAGTGTAATATTGTCTATTTTATTATTATAATCTCAAAAAGTTAAGAATATAAAAGTAAAGAACACCATGTAAAAAATATCTTGGTGGTTAAGCAAGGCGGTCCTTCATATGCACCTTATTGTCTAGGTGTTGCCTCGGCATTTCCTTGACAGCTATAGTGTATAATGTTTATATATGTCTATTTCTCCAAGTGCTTTTTTTCTAGGTGTAGTATATTATAGTTGATGAGAATTCATTGGAAGTAGAACTAAGAGATGGCTCTGTTTCTTGTTGAGATGACATTGGAAGCATTGCTAGATCTTCATTGAGGGCTTAATATTAAGAAATTAACACTTGGCTGGTATTAGTTGAGTCTTATTATGTAATCGATGCCTTTATATTACAATTCGAAAGAACCTAGGAGTGGCTCCAGTTGGTGATAAAACGAGGAAAAGTAGACTAAGGTGGTTTGAGCACAAGCAGAGTAGACCTTCTACACCACCAATAAGAAGTGATCTATTATAAGCTGAAGGGGCTATAAGAGCTAGGGGCAGGCCAAAAAAACATGGGTTGGAGTAGTGAGAAATGATTTAAGTGCCCGCAATTAAAAAATGGATATGTTACTGAACACTGCGAAATCATGGAGCAGACCCCATATAGTTTGGACAAGGCTTAGCTGATGATAATGTCACAATGGACAATGTGGTTTTTAAGTAGTTCTTATAGTGTATTTTCCACTGTTCATCTGTTTTATGCTAATGGAAAGTTGGAAAATGATTTTTAAAGGAAAAAAGATAAGAATCTTGAACTTCACCCAGGTACTGTTCAGGTTAAGCCATCCAGCAAGACTTTCAAGGTCTCTATCAAGAATATTTAACTGATCTAATAACCCAGCAAAATGAGATTTTCATTTTAGCATCTCATTAAGACTTCATCTAATGTCATCAAGTTATAAATGGAATTTTGCACATTGCCCATTTCCATGATTTTCTACAAAATTCATCATCCTGCCAATTTTTTCTCTAACATCTTGTCTTCCATGGTGCAGGTGAAAAATCTGCTAACAGTTGATCCAAAAGATGCAGTTCCTATAAGAAAAATGACCATAAGGAAAATCCCTAGGTAAGAAGAATTATGCATTTCTCATTTTCCTCTTACTTATCCTAAAGGTTAACTGGTTCCTACTATAAAGTTATTGCTTCTCTTTATCACCTAAGTTATCCACTTGGTATTAGTAAACTAATCAATTTGAATGATTCTGAGATTTCAGGTTGATTTTATGTGTGTGTGTCTGTGGGTGTGAGTTCTCAAAATTCTATAATTTGCAAGTTCAACTATCTTATTTTGGCAACTTTGGAAAGATCCAACTCAAGTGGGGAAGATGGAAAACATGTTAATTCCAACCAAAGTTACTATAAATAGAAAGTAGTCAAGGTTTTCATCAGTCTCAAGGTTGTTAGTTATGACTACTGACTGGTGGAGTTGGATGAATAAAAAGTGAAGTCAAACTTCATCAGAAAAAAGGATATCTGAATCAAAATCAGCAAACATCAGTTACCAAATAATTAGGCCTTTGATTTTGATTCTTTGGGTGAAAGGTGGGCATCAGTACAGTGCAATATAGAACTGTTACACATTCTGTAGTTGATGACCAAGTTTGATATGCTGCATTTCAGCTCACTGCGCTTTGTAGGAGTAGGGAATTATTTAAGTTTTCATTAAAATATGCTTTAACTCCCATTTGAGATGCTCAGGTACTAGGACATGGCTTGGGTACAATATGGTCACAGTATTTTATACAAAAATGGTCTATTGGACTTGGCCTTGGGTACAACGTGCATTTTGACATTTCTGATTAGCATGGAGTTCCATGCCTGTGTTCTGCAGCTCATCTATTTTATCTTGGAATTTCCATTTCTAGATTCTTTGTTCATTGATGCCATTGATGGCCCCTGCGTAAATGTTTTCTTGTGGATATTGAAAGAAGCAGCTCAAGCCTTCTGTTCTTCTGAAACCTTACCTAATGCCCTTGATAGTAGTCTCTTATCTGCATCTTCATGTTACTTGTTAGAAACATGCTTAATTCATCCATCTATTATTTTATTCATGCCAATGCTTCATTAACTATTAGTTTCTTTATTTAATTTCTTGATCTATTTTTACTTATTCAGGGTTTCAGAAAACATGCCTCTTTATGATATTCTGAATGAATTTCAGAAGGGTCACAGCCACATAGCTGTTGTTGTAAAGGGTCTCAATGAAACAAAGGAGACGCCGAGGAAAACTAAAGAGGTGCAACACATGGAGAGTAAGCTGAACACAAGGAAAAAGAGTGCCCAATCCAATGCAACAACAGTAGAGGAAGGTAAAGATCAATGAGAATAATCTAGATTCCTTTGCATGTCTGGTAAAAGGAGTAACAAGTTAAGGAAAAGAAAGAAAAAGAGAGAAAGGTAAAGAAAAGAAAAGAGGAAGAAGCATAAAGCAGCATACTAAACGTGTCATAAGTACATATAAGAGACACCTACACGTCCTTCTGTCCTGACTAAATCTTGTCCTTTAGGTCTTAAACTTTAATTTTCTTCTCTTTATATCTAATCATGGCGTTACTTGAGATTATTATACCTGCCTTCCCTCATTTATGTCATACATTGTTGTGTTGAAATGTATATTGTTAACAGAACATGACAAGGTGGGCTCTTCTTCTGGGACCCAGGATGTGGGGACTAAATCAGAGATGTGTGATCCTCACATAGCTCCCAAAAGGAAGGATGGAGATCAGCAGTTACGAAATCGTCCTGCCGCTTCATCTGGGTTGATGAAAGGACATAGAGGTTGTTCATATTGCATTTTGGATGTTGAGAATGCTCCTATTCCAGTGTTCCTGCGCAACCAAGAGGTTGTGGGTGTAATTACAATGGAGGATGTGATTGAAGAACTTCTACAGGTACGCTCAGATGAAGAAAATTGTATAAGTTTCTCTTGTTGTTAGAACCAAAAGCATTATTAATTGTTCCTTCTCCTCTCTCTCTCTCTCTCTTGGTTTTCTCCCTTTTTTCTGTGCATGTCAGGAACTATGTTACCCCCATATGGCAATGACAGGGCTGGATACAGTATTGGATATGAAATTTATACTAAAATTTATGTCTGACACAATATAGCACCCTTGTACAGGTATTGGGGTATCATAGGTCAGGAGGGGTTTGTTAAGTGAAATATGAGAATATGTGGCAATACAAAGACAACATATTGGGTAGCCACAGGCTTCACCAACCAAATGCTTCTTACCAACCCTAACCAATCTCATGCAGCTTCTCTAGGATAAACCGGAAAACCAGTTATGGCCATGTATTCCATCTTATGAAATTTGGAGATTTTAGGTGAAAAATTTAATGGTTCCTAAGGGTGCAACTCGGGTTGGGCCCAGTTAGCATTTTACATGGCTTTGGGCTCGGGCATTTGGGCTGGGCCCAATCAAATTTTGACAAAAGCCCAACCCGAGCCCACATAAGTTGCACCCAGAACCCCTAATGGTCCCTAAATTGTTGGGAGAAGGATTAGTTGAGTTTAAGTGAGTTGGATGCAAAATTTCATGGTGCCTTTTTTTAGAAATCCAACCCTTCTATATAATTTTTGTCATCATGTCTTTTCTCATTTGGGATGCATGGTTTCCACCTGCTATTGTCTTCAGATTCTCAAAATCTTAAATTATGTCTCAACCCCCTCCCCCTCCAAAAAAACTAACTTTGCTCTAATTATTTTGAGCCTATGTGATCTCTATAGTTACTACTTATCATGGTGCTCCTTTATTCTAGTCATTAAGTTACTTGTTACCTTTCCTATAGTTGAAATGAATCAGCCGTTTAATGTGTTTCTCCTTAAAATTATAACACTCCCTGCTTGCATTACATATTAGAGGGTCTGATAACTTAAATTGTTCTCCCCCTTCCCCCATCTTTCCTGTTAGCTTGTGTAGAGAGACTGGGCTGAATGGGCCCTAGCCCATTACTATCGTATTGATTAGTTTTTTCTTGTTATTTGTTCTTAATGGGCCTTTAATTCTTTTTATGTTTTCTAAGTATGTTGATGAGGTGGACGCCCACTTAAGGGCAGACTTGTAATTTATGTAATCTTAGTAAGACTAATAAAAGATTAGAGTGGAGAAAGAGGAGATTATCAAATTCCTTTTTCTTTCTCCCTTCCTCCTTGTTGTCTTCTTCTTTTCATCCTCTTTTGCTATAATCTGAAATATTTTTACTATTTTTTATTGGTCTGAATTACATCTTGGTATCAAAGCAAGTCTTCCTTCTCTTTTATTTTTCTTTTCTTTTCCCATACACTCTTCTAATCGAAAGGTGTATGGAGAGATAAGTTGTTGATTATTCAGAGAACTTTCATGCCTAGTTGGTAGAGGGTTTGGAAGTGTCAGGATCTGGCTCTAGATTGCTAAGAAAGTGGGGCTGTTGATTTTTTGCCCAAAATCCTAGCCAACTAGAGAATTTCCAATTACAAGTTAAAGAGACTGTTTGGTGTGGTGCTCAAGGCTTTGCAAGTTCCTTTTGATCTCCAAAAGTGGGTGGTTGCAGTTGGAAGAGGTTTGGGAAGATCTGTTTGGAGTGACTACTTCTTCTCGCTTTCTCCCCGGAGGCCAGGCACAATGAAACCCTAGTTTTGGGATTTTTAAGTGCTAGATTGACCTCAGTTAGGTTTATAAAGCTTGAAAACCTTGTTTTTTGATTTTCGTTTGATCAATGGAGCAGATCCTGGTGCCGGGGATTGGTCCTATAGATTCCATTTTGATAGGAGTGATTACATTCAAATTTGATGGAACAAATTATTTAGCTTGGGTACAATCTATAAAGATCCATGTTGTAGTAGAGGTAAACTAGGGTTTCTCAAGGGCAGTAAGGAAAAACCGGAAGAGACTGATCCTACATATGAGAAATGGATGCAGGATAACTACACAGTTATTGGATGGTTGGTAAATTTTATGCAGCCCCACATAAGTCAACATTATCTTTGGATGACTTCAGCCAAGGAGATTTGGGATAGTATTACAGAAACATACTCTTAGAAATTAAATGTTGCAAGGACCTACAAGCTGAAGAATGATGTGAAAAATTTGAAATAGGGGGAGAAGAGTGTAGTTGTCTACTACTCAATGTTGAAGTCACTATAGTAGGAGATTGATGTTATGGAAGTAGTTGTATGGGAAAGCACCAAGGATGCAGAGACATAGGATGAAGTAACGCTTGCTCAAGCATATTCTATGGTGAGCAGTGAAGAGAACTGGCGACAGGCATAGTTACAGGGTCCACCACCTTCAGAGCATTTTGCACATGCTAGAATAAAACCAAAGGGGCCAACTAAGAAAAAAGAGATGATATGTGAATATTGTAAGAAACCAAAACATACTAAGGATACTTGTTGGAAGCTTCATCTAGATCTTCTTCCAGATAGGTTTCGGAACAACAACAACAACTTTAAGAAAGGTGGTCAGTCCGGAAAGCCCAAGAATGCAAATGTTGCTACAACATCTGAAGGTGGAAATAGAGAAAGTGAAGAAAAATCTGTTGTGGAGTAGTTGGCAACAGTGAAGGCAGAATTTGAGAGATATGGGAGGTTAATTAATCACTTGGAAACTACTATTTGTAGCTTCCTTCTCAGGCAACACCTCTTCATCCGCATTTGCCCATTCAAGTATTCGTGCTTCTGCAAATCATGCTATAGCCTCAGGTAATCGTTGAATTCCTTGGATTATAGATTTTGGTGCATCAGACCATATGACTAGCATATCTAACCTTTTCTGTTCATACCAACTCTTCTTTGGTAGAGAGAAGATTTCCCTTGCTGATGGGTCTCTTGCTCCCATCTCTGGCGAAGGGAATATTAGAGCCTCTGACTCCCTTGTTTTGTCCTCTATCCTTCATGTTCCCAAACTTAACACTAACCTTTTATTTGTTAGTAGCTTAACAAAATCAATGAATTGAAGTGTAACTTTCTTTCCTACAAATTGTGTTTTTCAAGACCTAAAAACTTAGAGGACGATTGGGAGTGGCCATGAGGCAAATTGAATATATTTGCTGGATATCTCTGATTGAAGTCCTAGACCACCTAGTGGGGTAGATTTCGAGTCTATCTCATTAGAGCCAGTTGATAGAGTCATGTTATGCCATTTGAGATTTGGCCATTTGCCTTTTTCAGCTTTGAGTCATTTGTTTCCAGAAATGTTTAAGGGAATATCCCTATCGAGTCTTCATTGTAAGTCATGTGAACTTGCAAAACATTTTAGACAATCTTTTTTAGTGAGTAATAAAAGATCAATTTCTCCTTTCCATATTGTACACTTTAATGTATGGGGGCCATATCATTTATCTGTTATGGGGGGTTACAAGTATTTCATCCTTTTCATTGATGATTTCTCTTGTTACACTTGGCTACCTTATGAGATCCCGGGATGAAGTGCCAAACATTGTACAAAAATTTCATGAACTTATTCTTACCCAATTTAATACTCTAATACTCGGATCAAAATATTTCAATCTGATAATGCAAAGGAACATTTTGAGAAGAGCCTTTACTTCTATTTTGATACCTTTGGAGTTATTCATCAGAGTTCTTGTTCCTACACTCCACAACAAAATGGAGTGGCGGAAAGGGAGGACCGACATGTGGTTGAGGTTGCGAGGAGCCTCCTTTTTGCTTCTCATGTTCTTGTTAAGTTTTGGGGGGATGTTGTCCTTACGGCTACATACCAGATGCCTTCTCGAGTTCTGGGTTTTAAAACCCCTTTAGCCTCCTATTTCCAAATGAGGATCTCTCCTCTCTTCCTCTCCGAGTGTTTGGGTGCACTTGTTATGTTCATGTTCATAGTCATTAGAGACATAAGTTTGATTCTAAAGCACAAAAGTGTGTTTTATTGGGATATGCCTCCACACAAAAGGGGTATTGCTGTTTTGATCCGGTTTGTGGCACTCACTTTGTTTCCAGAGATGTCACATTTGCTGAGCTTGTTCATTTCTTTGGTACTTCTCCTAAGGGGGAGCATTTAGAGGAGTTGTTTGCGATGCCACCATCTATCCCTCTTCCAATCCCAATTGAGTCTTCTATTGAGTCTCCTCTCATCGAGTCTTCATTGGGTCTTCTTCTCATTGTTCCTGCTCCCCCTCCTCCTCTTGCTCATCCTCCCACATTTTCTTCCCATCCTATTGTCCAAAGGTGGTACCGGTGACAAAGACTCAGGGATGTGCAAATTGTTTCCACACCTTCAGATGAGCATCTTGCACCTCCCATCACCATTGAGGTAACAGGTCAGCCCTCTTCTACCACTTCTGATACCTTCCTTGACCTTGATCTTCTTATTGCTCTTTGCAAAGGCAAACAGAAATGTACAGTTCATTACATTTCCAAACACCTGTCCTACAACCTTTTTTTCCCTTTCCTACTATTTCTTTCTTGCCTTTGTTTCCACACATGTAACTCCCAGATCTGTCCCAGAAGCCTTATCCAAACTAAAATGGAGGGATGTTATGATGACTGAATTATATGCTTTGCATAAGAACAATACTTGGGAAATTGTGGATTTGCTTGAGGGAAAGGAATCGGTTGGCTGTAAGTGGGTGTTCACTAGTAAGTATTATTCAGATGGTACTATTGAAAGGTTTAAGGCCCGTTTGGTTGCTAAAGGATACACTCAGATGTATGGTATTGATTACCTGGAGACTTTTGCCCTAGTGGCCAAAATGACTTCAGTTCGAGTTTTGCTATCTTTAGCAGTTACTTTTGATTGGCCACTTCATTAATTTGATGTTAAAAATGCTTTCTTGAATGGGGACCTACATGAAGAGGTCTATATCTCATCGTATGTTCTTGATCTTCTTGTAGAGACTGGCAAATTGGGTGCTCAACCAGCTTCCACTCTTATAGACCTAAATCATAAGTTGTCAGCTACTGATGGTGAACTGTTGACTGATAGGAGAGTGTTCCAGAGACTGGTTGGGAAGTTATTATATCTTTGCATGACTCGACAAGATATTTCCTATGCAGTTAGTGTAATTAGTCAGTTAATGCACTCCCAGAGATACACATTTAGTAGCTGCTGAGAGGGTTCTGTGCTATCTAAAAGGGACTTCAGGGAAAGGTATTTTGTTTGCTAAGCATGGACACTTGAAGCTGGAAGCATACACTGATGTTGACTGGGATGAATGTATTGACGATAGGAGGTCCACTTCAGGTTACTGTGTTATGGTGGCAGGGAACATTGTATCATGGAGGAGTAAGAAGCAGTCTGTAGTGGCTAGATCCTTGGCTAAAGCAAAGTATAGGACAACAAAATGGCACATGGAGTTGCAGAACTTTTGTGATTGAGGTCACTTTTAGAAGAATTGGGAATAGACTGTGAGAAGCCAATAATGTTATATTGTGACAACTGGGCCGCTATCAATATTGCACATAATCTTGTTCAACATGACAGAACTAAGCACATAGAAGTTGACAGGCACTTTATACGGTAGAGAGTTGCTTTAGGAGAAGTCTGTCTGCCATTTATTGCTTCTGAATAACAATTGGCTGATGTTTTGACAAAAGGTGTTTCTAAAGAAAATCTGGTTCACTATATAAGCAAGTTGGGCATGATTGATATCTATGCTCAACTTGAGGGGGAGTGTAGAGAGACTGGGCTGAATGGGCCCTAGCCCATTACTATCTTATAGATTAGTTCTTATTATTTGTTCTTAATGGGCCTTTAATTCTTTTTTATGTTTTCTAAGTATGCTGATGTGGTTGACGCCCACTTAAGGGCAGACTTGTAATTGCAAATGAGAGTGTGGAAGATTTCAAAAGAAGCGGGAAGAAAGGGCTCGTGTGCAAATTGGATCTCGAAAAGGCTTATGACTTGGTGGATTGGTCATTTTTATTGGAAGCCTTAGAGTATTTTGGATTTGGGCAGAAGTGGTGCAAATGGGTGAAAGGATGTATTAGAGGACTTGCCACTATTCCATTTTAGTGAATGGTAGGGTGGTGGACCATTTCCAGGCTACTAGGGGCATCAGACAAGGAGACCCCCTTTCTCCTTTTCTTTTTACCCTAATTGCTGAAGTCCTAGGAAAACTCATTGAGAGGGCTGACTTTAGAAACTTGGTGAAAGGTTGGAGGGTAGGGAGGAATAGGGTTCTAGTAACACATCTACAGTTTGTTGATGACACAATTCTTTTCTGTGGTGGGGATGAGGTAAGTTGGGTGAGTAGTCTAAAGCAAGTGATCAATGTCTTCGAACATGTGACGAATCTTAAAGTGAATCTAGACAAGAGTTGTGTGATTGGCATTAATTTGAGTGAAAGTGAGGTGGAGGATAGAGCCCGAATTTTGGGTTGTGAGATCGCTCATTGGCCATTGACATATTTGGGGTTGCTACTAGGGGATAACCCAAGTAAAAAGAGTTTTTGTGAGAGATTCACTAAGAGGTTAGCATCTTGGAAGAAAAATTACCTATCTATGGGAGGTAGAATAACTCTTATTAAGTCCACATTGACAAATATGCCTGTATACTTTTTTCGGTGTTTAAAATGCCCAAAGGAATATGTGGAGTTTTGGAAAATTTGATGAGAGACTTCTTATTAAGTATTCATGGGCAATTTGCAAAAGTGATGGTGGGAAATGGCTTTAGGCAATTTGCAAAAGTGATGGTGGGAAATGGCTTTGGAGATTGACTTTGGAAAGGGATAAGTTATGGGCTCAAGTTGTCTTAAGTATTCATGGGCAAGCGGCGGATGGCTGGGACTCTGAAGTTTCAACTAGGGTTACAAGAGCTTCTCCTTGGAAATCAATTCATGCCATGCTTCCTTCTTTCCTTCCTCTAATCAGGAATGGTATGTGCTCCAATAACCGTGTGAAATTTTGGGATCATGTTTGGGTGGGAAGCACTCCACTAAAAGAACTTTTCCCTTCCTTGTATTCTTTATCACGGTTTAAAAATAAGCCAGTCTCCACTGTTTTGACCACCTCTAATTCAACCATTGATTGGAATTTGTGTTTTAGAAGGGCCCTTAGAGAACCGGAACTGAACCTCTTTGTTGACCTGCTAAATATCCTTGAGGGGGTGGTTATTGACACCTTAGGAGGGATAGTAGGATTTGGGCTCCTTCTCCTTCGGGTATCTTCTCTTGCTCCTCTTTCTTCAAGGAACTGGCTCATTCCCCTCCTGTCTTTGGAATCCCTTTTCCATTTTTGGAAGTCTGGGGTAGACCAATTCCTCCCAGAATTAGTATTTTTTGTTGGGAAGTTTTCCTTGAAAAATGTAACATTTGCGACTTCAAAGAAAAAGGCCTAATTGGTGTCTATCCCCACACTGGTGCATCCTTTGTAAGAAGAATGGTGAGACTTGCTATCACTTATTGGTTTTTTGCCCATTTGTTTCAGAAATCTGGTGTTGGTTTTTCTCTCTTTTTGGTGGCAAGTGGACCCCTCCCCCAAATGTACAAAGCCTATTTCATTCTACTACTGTTAGGGGGCTGAAGAAGAGAGGGAAAATTCTGTGGAGGTGTGTAAGAGCAGCTGTATGTTGGACAGTCTGGGAGGAAAGGAATCAATGGACCTTTCATGGGAAAGAAAGAAATAAGGGTGTAATCATTGAACTGAATTCTATAAGGGTGATCCATTGGGTTAAAACTTTGCAAAGTTTTGAAAATTATTCAGAAGGAGACGTCGTCAGGAAGTGGAAAGAAGTGGCTTGGTCATCTCCAAGAAAGAATGTATCCCACCCAATTTGGTCCCCTCCAGTTTCAGGTTTCACTAAACTAAACTTTGATGGTAGTAGTGAAGGAAATCCAGGTCTGTCGGGTATAGGGGAAACCTTCAGGGATGATGAAGGTCGAATTATTGCATTGTATTCTGGTTCTATTGGATAGGGGGACTCTCTTAGAGCTGAAATATTGGCTGTCTTGGAAGGGTTAAAAAGAGCGCAAGAGTTAAATATTAGAAAATTGATAGTGGAAGGTGACTCTAAGTTGGCTATAAATTGGTTGATGAAGGGTACTTCTAGTCTGGAAGTTTCTGAATGAAAAAAACCCAAAATATGGAAGTCAAGTTTCAATGGATAAAGAGGTGCGCCAACTCCTTGGCAGATTCATTGGCCAAACAAGGGGTGGGAAGAGTTAATTTCTTCTGGGCAACATTGTAATCTGAATTGCTTTCTTGGGAGGGTTAAAAATTTTTACCCCTCCTTTTGTACCTTTTCTATTATTATCTTTTAATAAAAGTATCTGTTATTTATCAAAAAAAAGGGCAGACTTGTAATTTATGTAATCTTAGTAAATCGAACTCCTTTCTCCCTTCTTCTCCCTTCTTCTCCCTTCTTCCTTCTTCTTGCTGTCTTCTTCTTCTCTTCCTCTTCTGCTATAATCTGAAATATTTTTACTATTTTTTATTGGTTTGAATCACATCTGCGTGTTTGATCATGACCTTCTTGTTGTCCATGCTTAACATAGTTGTGTTTTGATGTCAGGAGGAGATATTGGATGAAACTGATGAATATATAAATATCCACAACAGGTTAACTTTTTATTTCCATGCCTGCTTTCTTTTTTACTTTACAATTGAGTAACATATTCTGTGTGGAGCTTTAAATTCAGATCTCTTCTGTGCCTTTTTCTTTTTCTATTTACTTGTTTTACAAGTTCTTCTGTGGCTAGATCAATAAGAAAAAAACTAATCGTTCCTCAAACGCAGGATAAAGATCAATATGCAATCATCTCAGGGAAGGGCTCCCAACTCAAACTCTCCATTGCCAACTCCTACTTTATCATCAGTCATGTGCACCCCGACACCAACTTCACCAGTGTCCATGGGAGAAAACCACACCCAGCATTCTCCTGTCTCCCCTTACATATTGGCTCCAGGACCCACACCTACACTTTCAGTGTCTGCAGGCACCTCCATATCAGGTTCACCTATCACAAACGAGACTCCAAGGTTATGAAGGGGGGACTGGCAATTAAGGAGACCCCTTAGTTTTGACATTGGTTTCTATGTTGTATTTTATCAATTGATTAAGATGGAAAAACTTGTATGCATGCTGCTCTAAATGTGCTCAGGTGCAACAATATTGAACGTTTCTATATGTTCCACTGCTCAACTTATAAAATGGTTGTAACAGAAACGCACATTGGAACCCCAGGGATATTTTTCTCCATGAAAAGATTGCTTAGCGTATCTGAGCCTTTATGACTGCATAATATACATTTAAAGGATCGTGACGAATTGTTATATGTATCAAAGTGACGTATTGTTATGTGTATCAAAACTCAGAATGTTCATACGAGTTTCAATTATCTAGTTTGGCATATATTTTAAGTTGCATTTGAGTTGTAATATAATTTCATGATGTACAATTTACTATGATCTATAAATTGAGCTGGTTTTGATCTTCGTTCAGTTGAAATTGATATGGTCAAGACATGACTGAAGCTTTTCTTTGTATGGTAGAAATTTTTTTACCATCCAAACCAATAAAATAAGAACCACAGTTACATCAATAAGTAAGCTACTAGTGGACCTAAGAACCAGATCGGTATGTGGCGACTTATAAATCATGCATCAAAGTTTAGAACAAATAAACCCTATAAAATTTCTTTCTGGGTGAAAAAGTAGCCTTTATCTTGATATAATGGTGAATGTTCATGAGAATCAAATCACTACGTCATCCATAGCGTCATGTTTCCAATCAGATGGGCCAACAGAATTTAATTTTCATACTAGCGGGACCGTGCGATGCATGGGATTTATTAAGCGTAAGCTAAATAATAGAAATTGTCATTTATTAAAATATCCCTTATAGTTTCACAAATTTACTATAATCTATCCTATAGTTAGTATTTTACTAAAACACTACTTATAATTTGTAATGGATTTATTCGATCTTCCACATTAAATGGCAGTGGAAAATGACAGTGTTGACCCTAATGTTCATTTAAATAAATTTAATCAAAAGAAAATAAAAAATACTATTTTTGCCCTTAATAAGACACGGGCAACCACTATATTGGCTATACTCGATCAATTTTGTTTTCTGTACAAAAAATGTGTTAAGGGTATTTTTGGAATAAAAAATCATGGGCCTAATGGCAAAACAAACACTCCTTAATGAAATGTTGATTAAGTAAATAAGTTGTAAAATATATGGGATGTWTTAGTAAAATGAAAACTATAAGGTAGGTTTAAGTAAATATGTAAAACTATAAGGTGTGTTCTAGTAAATGACACTAATAGAAACACATAAGAGTATACAATTGTTTTATATTTTTGACTTTTTAAATAATTAATAATTATTCATATTTTATATACTACTTTTAATAAATTTTTTATAATACAAAAGTAACAACAATTAATTTCAGTTCGACCAAGTTGGATCAATTTCACTTTGGCCATTTGCAAACCGACCAAAATTGAATGCTCTAACCATGGATATATGTTAATATTTTATATTTCAAATATAATTTTTAATATGGAAAAGTGAGAAATTTCTCATATTTCATAGTCTAAAATGCTTTATTTCATAAATCTATTTTTTAAATTTATTTTTTTAATAATTGCACTATAAATTTTAAAATTAAATTTAATTTTTAAGTTTAAATCTTTTGAACCGACTGACCTTTGGTGAAAACCGACCCAAACCAATACAACTTGAGTGGGTTGATTTTCACAAAAGGTCAATCGGTTTCAGTTGACCAACTCCCCAACTCGTGAACATTCATAATTTTAGCTAAATTAATAGTCTTATCTCCCATAAATAACAATAGTTTAATCTCCAATAATTATTGAAAATTTAAAGCGAAAATACACAATTATTGAAAATATATTGATAATGAAAAAATACAATAATTACTAAAAATATATTAACTTAGTCAATACATAGTATAATCTCAAATAATAGTTTAATCTCTAATAAATATTAATTAGTCAATAAGTTATAACAAAAATACAATAAATACAATTAGTACAATAAATTAAATTTAAAAATTCAATAATAGTAGTTTAATCTCCAATAATTATTGAAATTTTCTTGTTAAATAAAAAACAAAATAAATTTATACATAATCATTGAAAATACATTTATCGCAAAAAACAATAAATAATTACTGAAATACAATAAATATTATTAGTATACATAATTATATAATAAATACAGATTAGGAGTTTAAAATTATTATTAATAAATATTATTTTTTGAAGGTTATTTTCTCGAATTATTACTTGATATAAGTGAAATTAGTTATTTATAAAATTATGTAAAAATATTAAATTATTATTAATATTAATATTATGTTATAATTATTTTTCTACTTTTCAGTTTTTTTTTAAATTTATTACATAATTTCTTTATTTTAACTATTTAAAATCTAGTTATATTAATTTTTTTTGTTATTTAAATACTTAAATAACTTTAAATTTTAAAATATTAATTATTTATTGAATTTAATTATCCATAAAATCACAATTTATACTATTATTACATAATTTCATTATTAATTTTCTAATATATTAAATTATTATTAATTTCAATATTATGTTATAATTATTTTTCTACTTTGAAGAAACTTTTTAAATTTATTACATAATTCTGTTATTTTAACTATTTAAAATCTAGTTATGATACATATTTAAATAATCTATAAAATATTTGAAAAACATTTAAATTGAGAATCCGGAATGGCATAATTTAAATTGTTAGTACATAAATTCGTGATATATTTTGTAAAAATATAAAATTATTTTTGTGTTTTTAACAAATATTTTAAAGTTATTATATAATTTTGTTAGAATATTTAAATAATTCTTAAATTTTTTAATCCAAACTTTCTTTATATAGATATAGATAAAAAGTAGGGAAGAGGATAAATAGGAATTAGAGATAATTTAGGAGAAAACTCTCTACTAAATTAGAGATAATTTTGGAGATAAATAGGAGTTAGAGATAATTTTGGAGATAAATAGGAGTTAGAGATAATTTAGAAGATAAATAGGAATTAGATATAATTTTGAAGAAAGTGGGGAATAGTGGGGGAGGTAGTTTAGGAGAAAATAAAAAATAAAAATGACATGGAATAAAACTAAAAAATAAAACATTCGAAAAAAGGAGAAAATTTCTTCACTGCCTTGTTTTAATATATATAAACTCAAATCTTTTAATAATAATGCTATTAATTGATTCTTTCAGGCACCTGTATAGGATACGGTTTGTCATAAATCAACTTACTATACGATGTACAGGTAACTGACAAATTTATATAGGATTATTATCCATTGCCTATATCAAAATTGGGTAAAAAATAACCAGCTTTGTTCATCGTCCTCACTGGTTTTGTTAAAAACGGGTTCTTTGGTACTCATTTTTTCACAAACTCTGGTTTCCTTCTCCAATATGAAATTAAGAGTATTTTTATTTCGCTTTTGCTAAAACAGGTTAAAAAACAGAAAAAATAAACACTTAAAATTTAAAAACAAAGGCTTGCTTTGTATGCTTAGCTTCCTACGTCTAATGGTTGCAACCGGACAAAAAAAGTCTTGTGGTTCCAAACTAGATGATGAAAGCCAACAAACTACAACACAAAACAAAAATTAAACAAAGAAAATTAGACCCTGTAGAAATTGACCACAGTGAAAAAAATAAATGAAAAGTAAGAAGATGCGTTCTCAAAGTTGACCGAAGACCTCTTTTCAGTGATTGGAGAAGTGAACTGTCTTCCCGAAGAGTAGACCTCTTTCAAATGATCTCAAAAAGTGAAATCTCTCTTTCAAACGATCACAGAAGTCGATGCTTGGACTGTGACAAAAGCAGACCGTAGATATCAGAGAATGGAAAACAGAGCAAATACAGATGATAATGGTCGTTGGATTTAGATGAGATAATGGTCTCTCGAACCTTGAAAGAGCTTTCTTGGATGTAGCTGGAGAGTCATTGCTTGAATGGTGCCAAAAACAGAAAAAATTGTGGTTACCGTGACAAAACTAGGGCAATATTACGGGCAAGACTTTGGTGCGAATTGAAGCAGAGGAACATTGTGAATGATGCCAACAACAAAGCAAAATTACTACAGTTATCTTCTCTTAAATAGTGGCAAAAACAGAACATTACCGGGAAGATTTTGATATGAATGGAAAGAGACAATCGTTGTGAGAATGATTGTGATACGAATGGAAGGAGGGGATTGTTGTGAGAAGGAAAGCAGAGCAGTATCCTACCAACGTACGTTCCTTTCTAAATCTCTGTTTTACACATACATTCCTTTCTAATGAAATTCAAGAAGTGGGAGTTAACAAATGAATCGTGGTGGGAAGATGATAAACATATAAAAAGGTGGGTTGACAGTGGCGTGAAAATAGAAAACTCCAAAGTAGATGTGATGTGCGTATCCTCATCTCTTTATCAAGATATGTATATGGAAGCAAAAAAAAAAAAAGGAGATAAAACACTCTTATTTTATTGGGCAGTTTTGAAAATAACATGGAATAAAAAATAAAAAATCCAAAAAAAGGAGAAAATTTCTTCGATGCCTTATTTTAATATATCTAGTATACCTCGCTATTGCACATTTAGGTTTTGTTGAGATCAAAATTCAAAACCCCTTGTTTAGGTTTTGTAAAATATCAAGTATGGAGGACTTTTTGTTAGGAACAATCTAAATAATTAAAGCAAACTAGAGGAAGGAGTGGGGATCAGTTTCAATAGAAAAAAGGTGCAAAGCTAGGATCAAAGATTGATTTCTACAAAGAAAGAGCTATTTTGGTATAAAGAAAGAATCAGTTTTTAGAGTTTTATTTTATAGGTCTTCAGTCAGGTACTGAGTTCCTACATGACTGGATGTGATAATAATTGGTACTTTCAAATCTATCACATACATGTGTTTTTGGAACTTCTGCATAGAAGCATCTTTTTTTGTCATAACAGCAGTTGTTTTTCGGACATGCATTTTTAATGCAAAAGATGTTCAGTGCAAATACAAAATATAATATGGTTCATGAAAGTGCAAGCTTACCAAATTAAAATCTTATGAAATGCATTTCACTGTTTTGAAACATGTCCGAAAAAAAAAAAACAAAATTGCTGTCTTTTTTAATACAAAAATGTGCTTTTGTCAAATTTATGCAAAAACTGATTGGAAAGACATTGACCCGGCATTAAAAATGGTCCCGGCGAGGCTCGAACTCGCGACCTTCGGCTCATAAGACCAACGCTCTAACCAACTGAGCTACGGGACCAACGGCCTTTAATTGATGATCATTTTAACTTATTGATATGTTGAGAGAAAACCCTACCATTTCCTCTATCGACTCTAATCCCTACCTTCGTTTTCTCAAAATGCCCGAACCCGTCTACCAAATCCATTTAACAAATTACAAAAGATTCAAAATAGGAATCAATAAATCAGGTGGCGGTGACCTAAGTTACAAAAGATGAACAAGAAAAAGCATGCTTCGTAAGATAATGGACAAGTGGACAACCCAATAACATGGATAAAAGTAACTGAGTATGAAGGAAGATGATTGGTCAGAAACATAGTTTTGAAAATCAGACCGGATGGTTGACCCGGGAATCATATGACCTTACATTGGACCGGGGCAATAGGGGCCATTTGACCCAGAAACCAGTGACCGAAACGGTTCTGTTTCTGGTCCAGTTTTTAAAACCAGAACTATCCATAATTCCATGACATACTAACATTTTGGTTCATAGTCAGAATTAGAATAGGAATTGGAATCAAAATCTCTTTAAAATTGGAATTGGAATTATTCATTCTCCCACTGTTTGGTTCAGATGAGAATCTGAATTATTTGGAATAAAGTCGTTCCTAAGGGAGGGGAAGGGAATTGCCATTCCCTCAAATGCCAGCATGAATGAAAATCAAATTCCAATTCCACAAATCAAACAATTGACTATTCTAATTTCGATTCCAAACCCCTATTCCCATTAATCAAATGGACCAAAAACTAAACCCAACAGAACCAGCATATAACATTTGGATAAACATGGATCTCACCTGTTCAAACAATAATGTTCGTTTTGTGAGATCTAAATGGGATAGTGTGATTCATTTTTTTTTGGGAGAATGACCGTTCAGCCCAGGGTCAGAAGCTTTAGGCTCAAAGTACAATTGGAGTGGATGTCAGCTCGAAATTGATGCCAATTCATGGGCAGGCATCGGTGTATAAAATGGGGATTTTAACATTTTGAATGGTTATAGATCTGCAATGGAATTCAGAAATTGTCTGTTCATACTTTTCGGAACTTTTTGCCCTGAATATCAATAAAAGATAATATTTTTATAAAATAACAAAAGTAAGGTAATATTTTTTTGAAAAATATCAAGGAAGGGCAAGCCTCTTCCCCTACCTCTATATTCATCCAAATACATTGTTCATGCGAGAAGCTGAGCAGGGCATAGGCGACGTTCTCCTTCACGGTTGCTGTCCTCGTCTTGAGAGCTCTCACCAGGGGCTTAATTAGGTCCTTGTTTTCGTCGCATAAGGAGAGGTTCAGAATCGGGGTGACACCGTTCTCTTGAAGTTGAGCATCGGAAGAGGAGATAAGAGAGATAAGTGGCCTTACAGCCCCATCACGAGCAATCTTGAGGCGGTTTTCCTGCTTGTTCTTGGCGAGGAGTCTAAGCTCCATGGCCGCCTGCCTCTGCACAGGTCTAGCGAGCCCGATTCGAGATCGGAGACAAGTTGACGAATCTGATTTCTCAGAAGCGCAAGCCACTAGGAGGCGACGGCTATGCGTGGAGGTGGTCGGGAATTCACCTGATTGATCGCTGTTGCAGTCACTGAAAGCTGAAGATGAATCATTACTGATGCTTAGATCACCAAAGCTCCGCCCCAGATAAGTAAAATTCGAGGGAATTCCGGCCTCCATCACCAGAGCTAGCTACTTCATTAAATGTTTGGCCGGCTACAAAGAATTCGAGAATCGGGATTCCTTTGGCGTAAAATGAAGTTGAAGATTTTTAGAGCGACCTATTCAAGCAAAGACGCTTCTGTCGCGCAGCAGTTGGAAAGGGAGATAATTGAGTGCGAGAGAGCAAAGAACGAAGAGGTGTTCATCGTCATTTGCCTCTGTATTCATCCGAATACACTGAATTTGAAGCCTTGGTGATATTTTTCAAAACAATGATAGAGGCAGAGGACGAGGAAGACGATGATAAGTGTTATTGCCCTTCCTTAATATTTAAAAAAAGATTTCTTTATTTTAATTATTTTTTAAAAATATTATCATTTATTGATATTTACAACAAAAAATTGCCCTTATTTATTAGAAACCCTTTTTTCTTTTCTTTTTGTTTAATTTAAATGCAAGGGAATTGACATTGTTTGATTTGCATCGAATTTGGACCTACGCATCTACAGTTCATGTCTCTGTTGACAGATTAGACGTGTGATATTCGGCCTTGAAAGCTTAATTTTTTTTTTTTTTTTTATTTAAAAGGTTAATTTGGGAAATGGAATTTGCCACGTGGGATAGGAAAATAACATTTTATAGTGACCTAGTAAACCCCGAACAAACAAAGTGTTGAGAAAAAAGGAAAAGAAAACCACAAGTCCACAAAGAGTAATTTGATTCCATATGGTTTTCAAAATTCAATATGGTTAATTGATCGATTCGGAATATTAAAAAAGCCGGAGAATCGGTTCGATTTCAAAGAAAAAAAAAAGTAAGATACAAAAATCTTCCCTGAAGTATTTGACAATTATAAAAATCTTCTCTATAGTTTTGCTTTATAAAAACTTCCTACAACTTTTAAAGATTTTGACAAAAAACCTCCCTTCCATAAGTGGATTAGACGGAAAACTGAAAATTATGGAATTACCCTTGATTAATCGTCAGGGAATCAATACTATATTTCAAAATGTTGGAATTGCCCCTACTTCTCTTTCCTCTCGCAATAGAAGGGAAAGACGTGGCTTCTTCTTCTTCTTCTCTTTCTTTCTCTCTTTTTCATTCSCACTGTCCCCATTCTCCTCCATCGAATCGATTAAGTTAGAGCAATCGAAGGGAGTATTCATCTTCTTCACGGTGGCAGCGAGAGAAGAAGTCTTTTCTATAAAGAAGCTAGAAAACCATATTTGCATCACAGAAAGATATTCTGATGAAGGTTGTTGTACTTCTTAGAAAAGGCCCTCTTTATCATGAAATCAAGCATTTCATTTATCTTCTGGTTACACAATTGAAATTTTAATAATAAATCTAGGAAAATATTCCCTCATGAATTGACTTTTGGTACCTTTCTTGAGTAAATTTGCTTGCTTTTGATCCCCTAGGGATCGTTGGGCAATACTATTAGGCCAACGATACATGCGAGGAATTTCTATGAAGCTCAGTCAATTATACCAGACACTCTATCCAACTCCAAATTAACCAGTCAGAAATTTACTGAGAGATGAACACCCATTGATTTGCACAAGTTGTGCAGTAGAGGTTGCTGCCAAACAGGGTGGCATTCAACCTGGTTCACAGCAGGTGGTGCTTTTGCATATTTTATCAGGTGCTCTAACTTTTTTGGAGAGAAGTTGCCTACCCCGATTGCCCTTGTTTATCCTGATGCAAATAAGCCCTCCATTGCAGTCCACGTCTCTGAAAGGTATAGAGGAGCCGTGACTTCTGGCTCAAGCCCAAGAAATTCCAGCTTGGTCCAAAGTGGCCAATGTATCTGTAATAAAAACATGGCGGCGAGTCTATCAGTAGTGAAATCCTCACAAGATGAGAGGACAAGAACACTAAACTCTTTAAGGCTGTATTTGGAAACGATGCAAATAAGTGTGAATGTAAATAAGTAGAATATAAAAGGGTTCATGTAAATTATAAAATTGGGTTAATTTTATACTAACAAATTTATCTTCTTACCAAATAAACTTTTAACCGTAATGGATGTAAATATGAATTTCAATAAAGCATATGCCTTTTTTTTATCAAAAAGTCACTTGAATGCAAATTTATCTCTTTTTTATTAATGTATTTTTATATCTTATTATCAATGTAAATATGCATTGATCTGTCATTTATCAATGCATAACTATAATGTTGCCAAACACATGCAAAAGTGAATCAGAGTGTAAATTTACCCTAAACCGGGATTTACACTTCCATTGCATTGTTTCCAAACACAGCCTAAATGAATGCGAAGAAGATTAATAGTGCCTTTCCATTGCTCTAACTCAATCGACTCAATGGAAAAGAATGGAAACAGTGGGGAAGAAAGAAGAAGAAGAAATAGTGAGGGGAAATCGGGGGAAGGATTTTACGTTGTTCAGGAAGGGGAAGTAGGGGCAATTTTTATATTTTAAAATATTTTATTCTCCCTGACAATTAATCAGAGCAATTTCGTAATTTTATCAGTTTTTCGTCTGAATCAGGGAGGTTTTTGTCTAGATCTTTAAAAGTTTTAAGAGAGGTTTTTGCTAAAGTAAAATTACAGGAGAAGTTTTTATATATTTAATAATAAAATAAAAAAAGCCGAACCGACACCAGACTGCTAATTAAAGTACGAGTCACTAGACTGCTAGGCGTAGGCGGGCTTCTTGCGCGACGAAACATCAAAATATAAAGCCCGCCGCTCCAACTCCAAATGGCCTTATGTGCTTCGTTCACACTCGCAGAGAACAACTACAACGCTCGGACGTCGCGGCCTCGCGGGAGAAAGAATTGATGAAGGGAGTTTTCACTCCTGAGATCTGAGGTGCCTCTTTTGCTGTTTGATGCGAGCAGAAATGATGGGTAAATCCTCATCGTCACTTTCTGCTCGATTCGCTCTCCTTGCGCTTGTTTCGGCTTCGACCTTCTACTGCATTTGGAAGTACCGTCGCCTCAGAAGCCAGAGGCTTTCATCTCGGAGTCGTAATCCAAACCTTGATATATCGTGCCGCAGGGGAAAGCTCTTCTTCGTTTCTCAGACTGGAACCTCTAAAACCCTAGCTCATCGTCTCTTTGATATACTCAACTCGAACAGCATCCCATTCGACCTTGTCGATCCGAAAGATTACGAGCCTGAAGATCTCTCGAAGGAAACCCTAGTTTTAATCGTCGCCTCAACTTGGGAAGATGGAAAGCCTCCTCCCAACTCCAACTTTCTTGCGAATTGGCTTGCCGAGAGCGTCGACGATTTCAGAGTCGGATCATTGCTGTTCTCTGACTGTAAGTTTGCGGTGTTCGGAGTTGGAAGCCAATCATATGGTGAGACTTTTAATGCTGTTGCAAAGGATTTCTCGAAGCGAATGAGAGCGCTTGGAGCCTCGGAGGTTTTACCTGTGTGCGAAGGTGATGTTGACGCAGGAGATCTGGACGCTGTTTTTGGTGCTTGGAGTTGGAAGTTGGTAAGAGTGTTGAAGGGGGGTTTGTTGGAGAATGGAAAACCTCCAGGCACTGCATTATTTACAGAAAGTGAGGTGGAGAGTGTCGACGATTCCGAAGATGATTATATTGAAGAGAATGGTCCAGAATCTGTTATCGTTGATCTGGAGGACATTGCTGGTAAAGCTCCTCCAAGAAAATCCTCAACATCGGCCGTGACCAATGGAGAGGTAAATGGCAAAAAGGAAATGGTCACTCCAGTGATTAGAATGAGCTTAGAGAAGCAGGTATCAATCCTCCCCTCAAATGAAATCATCTGAGTTAAATGTTCAAGTTAGAGTTGTTAGGAGATTTAGATTATTCGACGTTATGGCTTCTATGGGGGACGAGACCAAATTCTGTTAACTTTCCAAAACCGACTAATTTCAAAGAGATTCTAGGACAATTGCTGATGCATATATACGTTCTTCAAATCAAACTGCACTTATCTAATGAGCTGCTATCACATTGTCTAACTCTTCACCATTTACTGAAATCATTTAAAAGTATAAATTGCTAAAACACTAAAAGTCTGATTCACCTCAAATAGTAAGACGAGAAATTACTTTCTGTTACAGAACAAAATCACTAACAGTAGTAAAACTTAGGTCAGATGATAGTAACTCTTTTGTTTCTCCATTTGCTAATGTAAGTTGTGTTCAATTTTCTTCGTTTTTGTAATAGGCATATGCTGTTCGATTTTCTATTGCCTAGGCAACTTGGCACCTTGGTGCTCCACTATTTCCTAGAACTGTCCAGATGCTTTGGCAACTATTTCATCTATGACTATGAGTCTTAAATACCATGTTGTCCTTACCCTGTCAAACTTTGTCTTGATTTTACATTCATACTTTATATATTGTACATTTAATTTGACCATGTACATGCAAATCTATTATTTTGTTGCTCAGTCATTTCATTTACCTTCTTCAATAAGTTTATGGACTAAATTTTACCTGTATAACATCATCTATGCAGGGATATAAAATTATAGGTTCACATAGTGGTGTTAAGATTTGTAGATGGACCAAGTCACAACTTCGTGGTCGCGGAGGTTGCTACAAGCATTCATTTTATGGCATAGAGAGTCATAGGTGATTGTATTTATCCTAGATCCTCCCTCCACTCATCCAAAAAAAAGGATACACCAATAAAAAACAAAAAAAGAAAGGAAAGGAAAAAAAGAAAACAAAGAACATGTCTTGGACATTCATGGTTGTGCTTCACCATTTGATGGTTTTCCTATGGATCTGCTCACCTTTTCCCCTTTATCTATATATATAACTGAGCTTCTGAAGGTTTGAGTTGGTTGCATCCTGCTCATCTTCCTCATGTTTTACTTCCGTTAGGACTTTACATATGTGCCAAACATCTTAAATGTGTAGAAATATCGTTATATTGTGTAACACATTAGTATTAGTGATCAAACCATGTATTATTTGATTTGGCTATAGAATATCTATGGTATATGGTACTAATTACTGCTGTTAGAAAAATGGAAATCCTTATTCATATGCCTAATGATAAAGTGTACACATATTTTATTGGCTTTGAATGTAAGAATGATGTTGATTTTGATCAATCTCAGCTTATTAGTATAAAATAGCTAATTCATTTGGTTGTAATAGCCTTTATTTTTTTAGAAAGTTTGAGCCTTCTTCCTTGAAGGAGTTTTCTTGTGATATTTATTAATTTTTAATGTCATTTCATATTTTTCAATCCGTCACTAGGTACCCTTAGTTGGGCAAGTTAACCTCAATGCCTTGGCTTATAGCAACAAGGTGATACAAATCTCAAGATGGGAACCTTATGGCTGCATATTATTATTATTATTATGCATGTCAATACATTCTATTATGTACTATATATATATATATATATCACTTGTACTTAATTTTAAGATTTTACTATTGAACTTCAAAAGTCCAAGGGTTTTAACAAGAGAAAAAGAAGGAAAAAACAGAAGGATAAAGAAGTTTCTTCCTTTCGTTTTTTCTACTCTTTCTTTCTCTTACATTAAATAAAACAGCAGTTCCATCCATTGTCTGAGAGTAAATTTAATGTTCTTAATGAAGAGAACTGCTATTTTTATAATATGCATGCTGAATGATATATGAAATCAGTGAGCTAACCCATTAGTTTTTTGTTTTTTTTTTTGTTTTATAAAATTCTTATTGCCTAGGTGACTAGGCACTGCACTGTTCCTTATTGCCTAGATGCCTTGACAACTATCAGTAATCTGTTATTCTCTTTGTTCATTATATTCTATGCAATGGTTTATATTTAAAAGTTTATCTAACTTGTCAATGAAGCAGGTGCATGGAGGCAACCCCCAGTTTGGCTTGTGCCAATAAATGTGTTTTCTGTTGGAGGCATCACACAAATCCTGTTGGGAAGAGCTGGCAGTGGAAAATGGATGATCCTCTGGAGATTATAAATGGTGCCATAGATCAGCATACCAAAATGATAAAGCAAATGAAAGGAGTCCCTGGTAGGTTTGGTTGATGTTTGTAGATAACTATGACATAGTTTGGAGTCAAACCATGGAGATGATTGGTCTTGAAAAAGTGATTTAAATCTTAGTAAAACTTTGTGCATGGCTTCAATGATAAATAGGGGAATTAGATAGTAGAGAGTCAAATTACCAACAGATTCATTGGTCTCAACATACAATATGAGCAAAGGAAATTAGAAGAGCAAAAATTTAACAAAGAAGGGTAAGATCTATCTCTATTCTTCAAATGGTAAACTTGATTAAACTTGATTCATGTATCATTTAATTCCACCAGTTCAACTTAATGTACCAAAAAGAAGCATTCCTGTGTCAATTATCCAATTGGTAATTCCTAAAGCAACCATTGGTTCTAGTTTTATCTCCGAGAGAGAAAATAATGTCTTTCCTATTCTAATGAGGAAAAATAACAACTTTATCATTTACCCTAATTAGAAATTGGTGGAAAAAGAACTGAAAGATTTTTTTTTGATCAATAGGACCAATAAAGAAAATAAAAAGAAAAACTACTCAACAAAATCCTGGGTAATTGATCCAGCTCTCTCTCCAAGTACATACTCTCTGTCTCTCTCTTGCTTGGAAAATCCATGTGCCTTGAGTCCTGAGTACATGCATAAATGGAACAGCTGGGACTTGGGGTCCAGTAATCATGGGCCCATTTGCTGGTAATTTTAGGTCTATTAGTAGAGCCTTGTCAATTTGTGAATTTGGTTCAAGAATTTATTTAACCACCTGTATATTAATTGAAACAAATGTGCACTGATACATTCCAGTCATACAACATTATGTATTCCACCTCAACTACCCTGCTCTAATTACACAGGCAATATCCTCTTTTTATATGATGCTTAAAGAGAGTTTATAAAGTAGTTGGTTGTCTGGTGAAGGATTAGCAAATTCTTCCATGTGGTAAATATTATGAAGATCATCATATAAGATGTTTGAGTTGTGTTGTCTTGCATTGGTTTATGTTGCTAGGTTCTAAATCCAGCCTAGTTCAAGTATATTCTCTCATAAATGAATAGGAAATGCTGGGAAATAAAAATTGCTTCATTGGATGGATGGTTGCAGTCATGTCGATGGATTGATACAAATATCTGTTTTATGCAGGAGTAACATTGGAACGCCTATCAGAAGGGCTCTTGCCTAAGCATTGTGCCTTGTCACTTGTTGGTGAACCAATCATGTACCCAGAGATAAACATTCTTGTAGATGAACTTCACAGGAGACGGATTTCTACCTTTCTTGTAACAAATGCTCAGTTTCCTGAGAGGATTAGGATGCTGAAACCTGTCACTCAGGTTTGCAAAGTTGTTTTCATCCTTTGGCATAGTTAAATTAAGTGATCTTATCTGGAAATTGTAAATCATGACTTTCTTTGACATAATTGCAGCTATATGTAAGTGTAGATGCTGCCACAAAGGACAGTTTGAAGGCAATTGATAGGCCACTCTTTGGGGACTTTTGGGAGCGTTTCATTGTAAGTGCTTACAGAATCAAGACAGTAATACTTGGTAGAAGAATCTTTTTAACCTTTTCTCTGTGGTCCTACTATTTGCATATCTGCATTTATGACAGCCACTGGGATACATTTGATTTCCTCCTTTTAGTGTCTCCTTTCAACTTAAAACTAAACTACGAACCAGGTGTTTGAGTTCAATGATAGCTCGACTTATATGTGGTTATATAAAAATGTTGCTAGGATTCACTGAAAGCTCTCCAAGAGAAGGAACAGAGAACTGTTTTCCGTTTGACATTGGTTAAAGGTTGGAACATAGAAGATATAGATGCTTACTCAAAGTTAATCAACATTGGGAAACCCGATTTTATTGAAATAAAGGGTGTAACCTACTGTGGCTCGTAAGTTATCTTTCACATTTGTTGGCTACCTACTATCCTGGTCATTTTCTGTTTGGTTTACCTTCCAACACTATAAACTATTTGACAGGTCTGCCACATCAAAGTTGACAATGGAGAATGTTCCTTGGCATACTGATGTAAAAGCCTTCTCAGAGGCCTTAGCTTCAAAGAGTAATGGGGAGTATGAAGTTGCCTGTGAACATGTCCACTCCTGCTGTGTTCTTTTGGCAAAGGTTGAAAAGTTTAAGATCAATGGCCAATGGTTCACATGGATAGATTATGAGAAGTTCCATGATTTGGTCAGTAGTAATTCACATCTATCCATTCTTGGGCTTGTTCTCTGGACAATTGAGCTGATGAATTTTATCAACATTGGAAATGCAGGTAGCTTCAGAAAAGCCATTTAGCAGCAACGACTATGTTGCTGCAACACCATCCTGGGCTCTCTATGGCGCAGAGGATGGGGGTTTTGATCCCGATCAATCTCGGCACAGGAAGGAGCGACACCACAGACCAAGCCACTGACATCTTTGGCAAGAGATTGTCTTCTTGTACTTTGTATCACACTGATACTTGAATGAATAGTACTGTACAAAAAGGTCATACCCCGTTGATTGGAAACGTTGTAAACATGTCATTGAGGTTTCTTAGTTTATGGTGATAATTTTCTTGGCCAGAGTTTCATTTTTCCATGCTTTTAAGTTTACAGGCTTTTCCATAACTGTAGAATGATTTACACCTTGATGCTCGGGTCTTGGACTCCAAATTGGTGTTGGTTAAATGTGAGAAGTAAGATCAGCCTATTTGATAGCCTTGCGCATGCTGCAATTTCTAGTAGAAGATGTACCTGCCAATCAGTGGGGTCGAGCTACTCCCCCGTGTTTTGTAGCTCATCCTGGTTTTTCACCAAAAAAAAAAAAAAAACTCCACGTTTCCATTAATCAAACCAAGGCATCAAATTGATGAAGGTGGAAGGAGCTGGCTGACGGGACAATGGCTCACCAAAAGGGCAAAAAAAAGTTGGAAGTTTTCACTTAAAGGGCTATGGACATGTGATGGTATGTACTCAATTACTCTTCTTTTTGTCAAGTTTAAGTAGTTTCTTATTGGTTGTCTCAAGACTCAAGGCATATGCTTCTTCGTTCTTCCCATGTCTATGCACTTGTTAATAAGAGAACAAGTGTGAGGCCAACTAATTTTATAGTGAAGATCGAAGTAAGGCTGCAAATGGATCACATTTAAACCCATTTGTTCAAGTTAGATGTGGTTATATGTTTAGTCTTAATTGGATCGAGTAATATTTGAAGACATGTTTTAAAAAATAAAAATAAAAAAAGACATGGTTTTTTGTTTATTAGTCGGAACACTTGGTCTTTGTTTGGTCCAATCCGCTAGGATCCAATCCAATCAGATCAGATTATATTATATTTTTTGTTAATTTAAGCCAACTTTTTTTGCAGATTATTTTATTTCTAATCAAATTATATTTGAACCGGATATCTGGATATGTAAACATATTGAATTTGAATCTTTTTTTTTGGTAAGAAATATTGAATTTGAAACAATGCTATAGGTATATATCAATCGAGTAGCTAACCGGATTGGATTGGGACATACTCCTATCAGAATTTAACGTGATTCTTTTTGCATCCCCAATACTGGAGATCTCAGCTTTGAGTCTGAGGGTTATAAGTTTGTAACTTGCGAGCGGCTTATGTAAAATCAAACATTGGGCAGTGACCAAGTCTCTGTTTGGGAAGAGTGCTAATTCAAAATGGAACCTCCATCCAATCCCATGAAAGTTGAAACCACTTAATGCCAAATCTACCCGCGAGCTGACGTATCACCAACTTTTCTGATAGGTGTTTTTTTAGATAAATGTTTATCTTAAAAATGCTACTTCAAAAAGTTTTGGCTTTTTCTATTTGATTGGATGTTTTATTAGTATTTTAAATAATGCTCTATAAAGTTGTTTTTCACCTCAGCTAAAGTGTGTTACATCGTTATTTCATTTAAAAAAATGTCCAAGTAGGAATCATGAATTTGATATTTTCTCAAATGCCTCATATACAAGTCAAAGTGTTTTAATATTTTAACATTTATTTAATAAATGATAAAATAAAATAGTAAGTAGGAATCGTGAATTTGATATTTTCTCAAATGCCTCATATACAAGTCAAAGTGTTTTAATATTTTAACATTTATTTAATAAATGACAAAATAAAATAGTAATTTTATATGCTCAACGCTTATGTGATGTGGAATCAAACACATACACAGTTGAAGACGATGATGCTATTCTTAATTTGTTATTCTTTTTTTTCTCGTTATTTTTAGTGCTAGAAAGGCAAAATTCATTGATTGATTGCTCAGATTACAATCAGTTGACACTGCACTTCAGACTCTAGCCCTACATCTCGGAGAATATTACATCAATTTATTAGCAAAGCGGCACGGTGATGTTCTAGGCCTCTCCATGAACAGTAATTCAAAATTTCAAATGTGCAACTTATCAAGCTAAAAAATTGAAGTCAGATAAGAGGTTGTTGGGACTTGGAATAGAAGCCACAGATTTTTTGTTTTCTTTTTTAAGAAAACAAATGCAATAGTAACTAGTAACTAGTAACAGATTTTTTGTTGCTTACACTTTACACAACACATATATATATATATATATATATATATATATATATATACTTTTCATATTATAAGATATTAAATTATGTCGGAGAAATACAATTCCAGCCAAAGCGAATAACCATCTTTCTCTGTCCGCAGAATTTTAAGTTCATTAGCTGCTCTTGCGAGGCTGGCTTTTCCTTCTTCCTCGGCTCCTCGGAGGTTCCTTTGACTTGCTTGTATCAGGTTGTCCTTTCGCAGAACCATCTAAAGATATTGAAGATGAGGATCCAATTGCTCTCTTATCCTGCTGCTGAAGCTCTTCTTCTTCTTCTTCTCCCTCGGCCTTGCTTTTCAGTCTCTTCGAAACACCCTCCTCGATGGCTACTGCTTCTTCCTCTTGTTTTGGTCCTTTTTCCTCCTGGCTCACGGTCCTCTCAACGATTTTCCGAGGTCGACCTCGTTTTCTGGGAGTCTGAGATTGCACTTCTGCTGTTTCTCCGGTTGGTGATGCTTTTGCTATTGCCACTGTTACTCTCTTTGATTTTCTCTTGCTATTCTTATTGTCCATCAAAAATTTTCAATCCAATCAGAACATAAACAGAACCCAACCTCTAATCGAACTAGAACCTTCTCTCTCTCTACCCAATCAAAAGAAAACAACAATAAACAATTTACTCATCCTTTACTCCTAAAAGCTAAAACAATCGAGGTTACAGCTAAATCCTCAAACTACAATAATAATAATAATAATAAAAAAGAAACACAGAGAACATTAACTTCCACTTAGTCAAAAACTAAATAGACAGTTTACAGTTACACTTACACCCAGTTTATTCAATAACGACCATCGAAGCATTCGAACCCTATTAAAAAGCAGCAGCTCTTTTTCTGGCATGGAAGACCCCGAACCACAGATGAGACGGAAAAGAAAATAAGAAATGAGAGGACAGGCAGAAAGAAGAGAAGAAATAGAACATTAAAAGCATGTACCAAATTGAGTAACCATGGTTAAAAATTAAACCAAACAAACTGCCTAAAGTTGGGTTCGGTTTGGTTAGTTTAGTCTGTACCCATTTACCCAAGTCTGAGGCACGTTCGAGTACGATTCACACTGGAATGGTCGGACTGACCGCTTGTGCCGACTCTTGACTCGATTTGAGTCTTGAGCAGTTTATCCGAGTCACCTGGGACTCTGGGATCATCAAGCATGTGATAACTGTAGGTCTGTTATCTGTAAACCCCTTGAACAAACTTTCATATAGGGAAAATCTATTATGCGGAAAAGATACGGTATAAGAAGAGTTTTGATCAAACTCACTCATAAATTTTAATAAATAACATCTAATTGACTATCACATTTACGATTTCAGTTGACTGGTCATAACTTTTTCAGATATCATATCTTTTTCGTATCATAGTGGAACCCTCTGGTTATATGATTCTATCAATCCTGAATGTAATTGGTTTCTATTGCTGCAAACTGCGAAGGGGCCGTAACTAACCATCGCAGTGACAGTATTACGATTTACTCATTCACATAATTACATCCCTCCCGTGAAGCTTCCTTCAAGCATCGCCCAGATCGCCAGAACATGGGTCCAGCCGTCCAGAGGCGATCGAGTTGCCACGTGTTCTATGTTGGGTCATGGGTGTTTAACGGTCCAGAGGCAATCGAGTTGCCACGTGTTGTATGATGGGTCATGGGTGTCTAGAGTGTAGGCCACCTACCCACTGAGACAGGCCTTGGCAGTTCGCACCGTTGATGTTTGGCACTTTGGCTTAAGTTAAAGGGATCGTTTGCAATTATTGAGTTGGCCCCACCTCAAAAGATGGCCGTGATTTAGCAAGAGCCGCCCCACGGCCCCCACCCCCCACACAACCGGCAGGGGCAGAGCGTTTTGTTTTGTTATCATCCTTTTTTACCGGCTCAACTCTTACAGTTAAGGCATCCAATTCGGGCAAGCTCGACCCGATCTCCAAACTGAGATTTACTCGGGTCTCGGGCCGGCCCCCGGGTTTTCCATTTCTCAGGCCAATCAGACTCTTTTGTCTTTGGTTGGGGAATGGGAAAGAAACAACTCACAAGGGTGGTAACTGGTAACAAACTGGGGGGAAATGCTTGGTATCCATAAGAAGGGAGTGAATCGAGTGTAGACTAGTAATTGGGAAGGAGGATCCCTCTACCCCAATATTTTCATTTTCATTCTAGGCTGGCTGTTGATAAAGCAATCCTTGCTGCCTTCTGGAGCACTCTCATCTCATGAACCCAATTTACTTCTCATCAAGTAGTGATGATCTCCTTAAAGCAAAAGAAGTTGGAAGAATATTCTTGCCAGTAGGGAGAACAAGTAAATTTTACAAAACTACAGTAGAAAACAGAGAAGAATCCTAGGCTACTCTTAGTCGAGCATATAAATTGCTTCTAGAAATCAAAAAGTGCTTAACAAAAAAAGAGATTCTAAGTGATCTGAGGAGCCCACTCACTATGCCGCCCAGCCCAACTCGAATGTTCCCAAAAACACAACCTAAGGCCAACACACACAACTTTGATTTAAAGGTCCAGTACAAAGGCTTATTGTTATTTGTTGGGCTTTCACACCATGACACCAGTACTCAAAAAGGCGTAATAAGTATATGGCTTTCGGAGAGAGAGAGAGAGAGAGGAACAGTTAGTAAAAGGTAAGTCGAAATAAAAGAAATGTGGGGTGAGAGAGGCTCGAACTCTCGACCTCAGGATAACTCAGAAGCTATGAGACCTACGCGCTAGCCAACTGCGCCACCACCCCGTAGTTGGATATAATTAATGGAGAAACATTCTTTAGGCAGTGTTTGTTTGCAATGCAAAGGCATTTATGTAAATTATATATTTACCCAATTTTCGGTTCATGAATATAAATACGGTTCACATTTTAAATCATTTTTGCATTCATCCTGTTTGTTTGAAATTGGTGCAAAAGTGTGGGTCCATCATTAAATGCTCCAACTATCTTATGTTCCAATGCCTCAACTTTGGTCAAAAGGTTAATTATCAAAGGAACACAAAATTGTATCTAAAAAATATGTACAATAATGCTCTCTTTTTAGAGTACAAAAGTGTCAGAAAATGCGTTTTTTTCTTTGATAATCATTGCTTATTTACATTTCAAACAAACACTCACAAATGCAAACCGGGGTGCATAAATACCCCGGTTTGGCGTTTGTATTGAAAACAAACGAAGCCTTACTATTAACAACCTGAAGTGAGATCTCTTATCAAAGGACACAGATTTTAACCGCGCTGTGTTTGACTGTTTGGTTTGAAAGAAAAGGCAGTAGGGGTGAATTAGGAAAACCAAATCGGCGGTTAACCGAACCGATCCACCGATTAATCGATTAACTTTGATTTGGTTTCGATTACCAGTTTTTCAAAAACTAGTACCACTGGTTGGTTTGAAAAAAAGGCCCACGGTTTGATTAACCGAATTGTGAGCACCCCTAAAAAAGGTAGGGAAACTCATACAAGGTTTCCCTACCTTTTGTTTCAAACAAAACACAACTTGAAATCCGATCCAAAAATCCGAAATAGAGATATTTGAATATGACAAAACAGGATTGGACTTCAGATCGACCGATCCATTTGCACCCCTATCTCCGGTGAGGATTGAGAAAAGGAGAAAACAATATAGCAACGGTGTGGGAGAGGGGAGAAAACTGAAGAGCATGGCATTGGATCGAATATCTCAACGGAGAATTCAGATTCAATCTACACAGAACTATCCTCAAACTGTGCTTATAGCAACTTGCAATTATCTATTGGGAATATCTTCTTGTTAATAAAAACATGGGAAAATTGCATATTAGTACCTTGTACTTTGGGCCTAGTCTCACTTTAGTCCATGAACTTCAAAGTATGCCAATCTAGTACCTAAACTTCCAAAACGTGATGACATGTGCGATTTAAAACTTAAAATGACAAAACTACCTTTCAGAAAAACTATTCATTGTCTTTTACCTTGAAACTGAATAGAATGGATAATGTACAATTGCATTCAAGGATTTAAATATCGATATGATATGTCTAGTACAGGGCATACCGTATTGCTATCGGTTAGTAACAATATGGGATACGCTATGAATACAAGCGTATCTCATCAGTCATTTGTATCGAACGGATACAAATGCATATCGGCCGATATGCGCTGCATCATTCAAAACTCTCTATAAAAAATTGCGAATAAGGTGATTCAAACCCGGATCGCCTCATGCGTAATAGAATTCACAACGTTTCCAAACCAATAAGCCACACTACATTTTGTGATATAAAGTAAAATAAAATAAATTTTATTAACTTTTACTAGTCACATGCAATTTAACAATACACACATATTTATATTTAATGCTAACTAAAAATTAAAAAATAATATTTAAAAATAGTATTTTATAAACTAATAGAATAAATAATATATCAAATCCATATTTATATAAAAAAGATGAATTTTGATATCAAGAAATTTATACAAATAGAATATTAATAATAGAATAATTATTTTAATACTCAAAATTTATAAATTTGCACATGATATAAATCTTAAAATTTTTATATAATTTTATTAGTTATTAACTAATATTTTAATTTACATTAATAAGTAATAACAACATATTTATTATTTACAAAAAAATAAAAAAATATTATATACAAATTATTGAAGAAAATAATATTAAATTGAATCTATCAAATCCACTAATCTACATTTATTTCAAAAAATGATTTTTTATTTCATAAAATTTATATAAATAAAAATATTAATAATAGAATAATTATTTTAGTAATTAAAAACTATGAATTTGTATATGATATGCATCTTAGAAATTTTAACAAATTTGATATACTTTATGTTAAGATTTTATTTTTATAAATTATTAATTGATATTTTAATTTGCACTTGAAAATTTAATATTTACTTGACTTTTCTTAATGATAAAAAATTAAAATAGTAAAATAAAAAATAATTGATATAATAATTAAAATATAATAGGTGTGTATGTTTAGTGCCTTGGACTCTTGATTGATGTATTATAAATAAAATTATGCATCCTAGTTCATTAATCGTAATATATTTCTTCATATATATACTTAATGTTTACATTTTTATGTATTTATATACTATTTTGTGATCATTTTGATCTTAAATTTAGTGTGATTAATATATTTATGAAATTCATATGTATTTCCCTAATGTATCCCTATGTTTCCATCTTTTTCTTTCGTATCCATGCGTTTCCAAAGTGTATTCGTATCCATATCCGTATCCGAGTTGTCCGATACGATACCCAATATTGATACTTTAATCCTTTGTTGCATTAAGCAATACATGAATCCATAAGAAACCAAATACATACATTAATATGAAAACCCATCACTGAAGCGGTGCTCTTATGACCCAAAATTAGATGACACTCGAAGGGCATTTGTGTCTTTTTGCATGCCACTTAATGGCTGGTTAATGGTGGGTACAAAGTTGGCATGCTTTGAAAGTTTAGGTATTGGATTGACACATTTTAAAGTTAAGGGGACTAAAGTGAGACTAGGCCCAAAGTACAAGGTGCTAATTTGCAATTTTCCCTAAAAAATACAAATAGTAGTATTTCCCATGAATGGTTACAAAAGGTTGTGAGCATGGTGTGAGGACTGAATCCATACTCCTCCATGGAAATGATGCTTTTGATCCTCTTATGCATCTTTTCATCCTTCTCAACCCCATGCCTAGGCCACCATGACCCTCTTCACACACCAACCCCATAGCTTAGCTTAAAGTAGTTGCTTGCTGCGAGGCAACTATTTATTTTTCCTGCCTACTCCTCGGGTCGACCTTGCATTCTCCCACTAGCTGTGCAAGCTCTTTTCTCAGCCAAATTGATCTCTCTCTGAACTATTCAAATGGAAGGGAAGCAACAATCTCAAGATGTGCAAAGCAGGGTATCCCACATGGGTGAAGAACTTGGTAAATTGACAACAATTTCAGGCATGAACTATGGTATCAAACTGAAGCTCCTGAAGGAAGCAGTAGAGGTTATGCAAAGGACTTTGCGGGGGTTCTCGGTGGAAGCCCATTGGAAAGTGGAAGCATTTATAGAAAACACTTGGAATCCCACTGGAAAAGTGAATGTATTCTAGGCGGAGGGAGGTTGGGTGTTTCATTTCTAAAAATATGTAGACATGGAAAAAGTTTTGGAGGAATTACCCTAGTTTTTTCGCTCAAGCTGGATGCTTGTTGCATTGTTGAAAGATGCTA